GCCTCTGAGACTGTTAGTCATTTTCTGCAAATGTTGATTCAAGGTTCTTAGCGAATTCCCGCCGTCACGTCTGTCGCTGACATTTCCAAAGGGGTTTTCGTTAATGTTCCCTTTTTCCCAAGGGGCACTTGTCAGGTGCAACTCATGTTTTCGCCTTGTAAAGAGTATCACTTATTGGAACCATTCAGAGGTCAGTTACATCGCTTATTTGAAAGTGAGCAGATTTTTTCACGGGGTTTGACTTTGCGCCGAAAACGAGGAATATATTTGGTTGCTAGGAGCCACTCATGTCACTTTTACTCTTGCTCATTAATGTATCATATTAGAATGCTTGAGTAGGGAATGGTTTCGATGGTGTGAATGACTTGTGGCAATTCTGAAGGACGCTCCAAAAGAAGCGCGTTCCTTACAAAAACGGTATGAGTTAACTGCTAGTCATTTTGGCCGCATTTTAGAATATTAGTGAGGGCGCACCACAATGTACCGGGACGTACGCTTGGGGCACACGCAATGGTCTTTTGCTAGATCTGACAATAGACATGATTATTGATGATTATTATATGAGCGACTGGGCCAAATGGCGCTTGCATTAAAAGCAAAATGTGTCCTTCCCTTGGAAAAAAATTTCCCCGTTTTTGCCGAATAAATTTCATTTCTCGTAATATGACACTACGTGGAGTGGCTCGGAGGACATTACATCAAACTATGTCTTGACAGTTTACATGTAATTGAAAATGTCAACGAAAGTATGAATGTATTTCTGATTTTATTGCAAGCCCTCAAGCTTGGTGGCTTGAGGGCTTACATCCCCTTCAAGAGCATCTGACAGTATTTTTTTGAAAACCTCAGTTTCAGACGCGCCAGTCACACACTTAAAATGTTAATTGATAGCACTGCTCCTTTACCTTCTATCTTAGTTTTTCAAACTGAGCCGTTGCATTAAACCACGGAGACGGAGGAATGAACTAAATTAATAAGTCAAAACCTCTTTCACTGTAACCGGGGTGTTAATAGTTATTAAGTTTTTGTTCAACAGAGAGTTTGGTCAGTCGCAATTTTTCTTCAAAGTTACCAGACAGGCTTGGGTTTTCAACAAAATTTCTAGACGTCTTTCGGACGTGTAGGGAGAGGGCTTATTATAAAGAATCCTGGAGGAAATTCCCCCAGGTTTATGTTAATGAGGATATTAGCATATAGATGCTCTTGCAATGCAGTAAGTTAACTATAGCCAGAGAGGTATAAATAGAGAAAGTAGTGCCAACTTAAGCTTTGAAACAAAAATTGCTGGTCACTATATATGCACTACAGCATGTAGCTATTGTGTGCTGATTGTCCGCATATGCTATTTGTCCATGTGCACTGACGCATAAGTCACCATTTTGGTTCCAACAATTGAGACACTCATGTCGCAACTTTCTCTCCCCTCTCTCTCTCTCTAAACAGCTCTGACTGGAGCTTGTGATATTTTTTGCATTTTCTTCTTTCTTAGTTAACACAAGTTCAGTATTTAGCTTTCGTTGCTCATTTGAGTGATAATTAAGTATGGTACGTGGGCCCAATCTGTAATCATATCAAATAAAATGCTAAAGGGTGTGATCAGAAACATTCAATGATGGAAAACAAATTATAGGATCTTGAGGCTAACCACGGAGTCAGATTGTGAATTAGTCACTGTGGCTCAATAACCAGAACAGTACCAATATCCAAAATTCAAGCAAACGGGCCAATTACACGTGTTACATGCAAGACACTCACCAGTGCCTTTAATTTATTATATTAGGACCAGCCGATAGTTACTAGAGGTCTTTGGTAGAGGGCGCTGTTCAACTGGCCTGGAAAGGGTGCACCGAACTTATTCAAGCTCCATTGAAAACGGTGTAAAATCAACGGAGTTTGGAGCCCCATTGCGGGCAACGAAGTCCGAGAGCCTCTCAAACAAAAGGAATGTGTTGTTTGGTTGTTCATATTTCAGTTGATTTTCAAATTTTAATAGGTTAATTATCCGCCCAAAACAAATTCACCCCAAAAAGTGAACGTTCCCAAGTCTTCTCAGTCTCAAGTTTTCATCCCTCACCTTTCTGGGGCTCTTCTGACAATTTTTCAATAAATTCTTGTCTGCTTTGACCCTAGATGGAAGCCCCTGAATCTAAAGAGATGATCCTGGGTCATACTTACTTACACAACCCCACAATTTCTCGGCCCACACAGACTCCTCTTTTCGAAAGAATTTGCAGGGGTGCTTTCTAAGTGCCTCGGCCTGGCGGAGAATTTTCCTTGAATTGGGACAGTGCACCCGGAAGAGACAGGGTAGGACCTATTTGGCCCTTTCAAAAAAATTGTTCCAAGGATTGACACCGCCTATCACTGAACAAGTCGTTGTTGCTGCTGCTGTCGTTGTTGTTGTCGTAAAAATCATACAAACAGTCAGTCCTTTGTAATAAGTACAAATATCCTGATCTGTTTAGACCTTTCCACGAAATAGGAATACAGACCATCACCTGGTTTCTCATCATGGCTGGTTTTCATCATGGCTGGTTTTTTATCATGGCTGGTTTCTCATCGTCTTTTTTACACTGCGGGATGCATTGTTCAGTGCCGTGATGTTCTTTTTTGAGATTTTTCTCACAATTTTCGAAGGACGTTTGTACTGAAGATCAGAGTGTGACAATGGGTTCCGTATGCTAAAATGGAGGGATGTGAGTTGACATGATTGAGAATGCATAAATGGTTTGTGAATGCGCCATAATGAATAGCCTTTGATCAAGGCGCCCGCGGTGAAATGGATAGTCGCTCAAGAGCGAGGAGCTAGGGGAGACTACTTTAACTTAAGCACCAAACAAACGCATGAAGAAAGACTACACAACGAACAGCGCCCGCACGCCTTTGGAGTTCTGCCCCGCGTAGTTTAATTTTTTTCCTTTGCATTTGCTAACGTTTCGTTAGCAGATACGATAAATGTATAGGCATAAGTCTCCACCAATCAAAACGATTGCCTATATGGCGCATGTAATAAATGATTCATCATTACAATGGCGCGCGTATTCAACATGGCGTCCTTTCCGGCAGTGGTGTGAGCTCCAGACGACAATCTCTTCCAGAATTGCCTCAAATATGCAGCACCAAAGCTTGGGATTCCGATCAACAAATTGAAACCATAGCAAATGTTGGCCGTGAAGGCTGTTCTGGAGGGTCAAGACGCATTTGTCAATTTCCAATTGGATATGGCAAGAGTTTCAAATACCAGGCCGCACTGTTGCGCAAAGACTTCATGAACGTACGTGGCCCAGACGTATGTACTCGTATTACTAAGCCCCCCAAACACGATTGGTTCAGAGAAATGTGAATAATTCATAAACATTAGCATATTGAATAATTCAGATTAACCACTGGAAACAAAGCTCTAAAGGCGCTTGCGGCGGCACGCACATTCCGCGACACACTCAGCTCGGCTACTTCATGCAGGGCCCGGGCTTGCATGCAGTTCGTCGTGTGGTCTTGACTATCCATTTCGCCGCGGGCGCCTTGAGCAAAGGCTACATCATGGAAATAGCAAAAGTCACGTTGGCGGAGTGTTTCTTTACTAGCCTACCACATCTGGCTCGGTCTACATGTGGGTTGGGTTTTCAGTCCCTGCCTGATCCCCGGGTTTTCCCCCGAAATATTTATCGAAGGTTTTCTTCCCACGTCTAAAACTAAAAATGCTGTCTTTTTTTCACTCATTATCATCCTGGCGCTGAATGCGCTGTTGGATGAATAGATGTAAATAAATGAACAGATATCAATAAAAGTGGAGGCCTCATGATAGCGACGATCACGACAGTTGTCAACTTCACATTTCCATATGCGTGGTCTGAACTTTAAGTAGGGGTCAATCTTTTAAAAAGGAAAGAAGCCATTCAACAATTTAATCGAAATGTGACAGAAGCAACTGCTGTATTTCATTCCTGTTTTTAGATAAATGCAACTCACTCATCTATTTTGGTTTTCTTCCCAAAACCTGCTCGGATATCAAATCAATTTCCTTGAAGAGGAAAGTATAATCTTTTATGGATCAGTCGCTGGAATAAAACGTAAGTATTAAGTCTTCGTAGACTGCTTCCTAAAGACCTACATCATGTCACGTGGAGCAGTTTGCGACATTAAAGCGTAGACAGGATAGGATTTATCTCCATACAAGTCGCTGAATTCATGTGGAAAACTGTTATAGTATCAGATTTTTTTTTAATAGTATGGGGAGTCCAGAAAGGGAGCCGGAGCTTGTTCCCAGTCTGCCCGAGCAAAAAAGAATGTATGTAGTTTATGCAAATCATGATTAAGTGAAAATGAATATTAATAATAAGGAATAAATGTTACACCACAGAATTTATGATTTCGTAATTAGGCCAAATTATATTGTACAAACTGACGATCCTAAACTAACTTTAAAGTGCCGTTGACAACTTATAATTAGCTTGACAGTTACACTTGTGTCATTTCAATTTTCAGTAACATTGGTCGCACCAAGAGGTAGCTTTTTATAATACCTCAATAACCTTATCTTTACAAATTATGAATTATATCAAGAGACAGAATGATGGAATTTGGCTTCAAAGTAGGAATCCCCCATGGTATATAACAGTAGGGAAATTTTTATTTTATTGGGATGAAGCTTGTTGGATTACCTAGTGTCATAATAAAATTGTGGACATCAGTATTCCTAGAGGTTAAAAAAAAAGAAAACTATACTTTACGCCACAAGGCAGCCCACTGGAGAATAAGCTAGTTTGGTATTTCAAAAAAGCAAGGTATTCGGTAACAAAGCACGCGCGCTCGTCAGCTTATAGGGCCCCGCTGATGGGCATGCGTGCGCAGATGAAACACCGTGCTGGCTCATTGCGCATTGTCAAAAAGCTTTCCAGCCGGTTTCTGCATGGCGGGTACCAGGCTCTGATGTAAGCACAACTTCGCTGTGAAACTACGTATCATACTCTGAAGGCTATTAAATATTGCTGGTACCATTGTTACTCATTGCGTAAGCTTACGCTATGCTAATTTATTGCAAATATATAATACTCCAATATTGTAAAGTCATCGTGTTACCTAATCCATGATGAAAACACATTGAATTGCAAGATATTAATAACCATCTTTACTATCGACTTATCTTTCATTACAGATGTTCTGCATGATCGCTTTTTATGCTTTATGAGAAAGGGACTCCACAGAATCAATAGGCAGGTCTTTAAAATGCTGCTTAGTTTAGGAAAGTGTTATGAAGAAATTACTGATTGCTTGAAAATTATTTCTATCACAAGAAATTTTTTCTTCAAATAAACGTTCACCTAAAATAGATTTGTCGTAAAAGATCGAACTTGAAAAAGGAAAAACATTTTATGTACAAGTAACACTTTTTAATTAAAAAATACAAGATCGTATTTGCAATATTCTTGTTGAAAAGGGAAGCATTCTTGGGATTAAGAAACATTCAACATACAATTTGACCAAATGAAATATGTGAAAGGGAAAATAAACTAAACAGCAAGTTTATTTATCTCTGGGTGACACTGCTAGCTGTCTTATGAAATTTTGTCAACAGACTTTTCCTAAAAGCAACACTGCAATTTGCAGTTACATGCTAAAAAAATATTGAAATGCATATTTGCCATTTCCCCTTTTCCAGGTTTAAAGTGAGGTGTATTAACTAACTTTGACTCGAGTCTAATGTTCTCATCATTATATTTGAAAGTATGCACGTAGATCATACAACACTGACAAATCTTAACATCAAAGCGTTGGTCTTATTAAATGGAATACTCGAGAAACATTCAGTGGCGTGGAGTTATAAATAGGCTAAGATGCAGATTTCTATGAAAGGCAAAACGAGAACCTTGCTCGGCTCAGAAAGTAATTCCCACGTATTTGAAATTGGAAAAACTCGTAGGTACAACTAAATACTCAAACAAACGTGTGACCATCAAGAATGTAACATAGTGTATAAAAACTGGAGCATAAGCCATGCAAATAGAAGCAAACCTAATTAAATATTGAGTATTGTGACATTACATAAATGTTCAGTTTGAAAATCATAGCACTAAACTGCTTATTTTATACAATACCTGCATCAATCTCCATTATCTGATTGATCCATGGATTTTTGATCGCGTGCCATGGAATTTTTCGTTTTATTCGACAGTACCCGTTGAATAGAACTTTCCCTTGACTGAGTTCCCACCCCCATTTCATATACTTCATTGTCAGTAAATAAGACAGAGAAAAACAATGTAGGGGCGGAAACTAGTCTAACATTGCATGGTACTACCAGTGGGTGGCTGCATGGTGCTTTGGACAAGACTCTTTCATCAATGAATGGACCCGCGAAACCTATTTGTTCAAACTGCAGAGGATTTATGCAGGTATTGCATGAAATAAACAGTGAATTCTTTCACATTCGTGCAGTGACAGGAATAATTTCGTACGGTGACAGATGAAATGATCCATTCCACAAGGCGAAACCTCATGAAATTATTTTTACCATTGCACTTGTAAACAATTATTTTTTTAAATAACTACCAATAATACTTTCGATCTTTTAAATTTTTTTTTGCATGTTTAGATAAACCAATACAGGTGACTGAAACGTAAAATTTTAAAACATGGAAAATATCAATTTCAAAAAAATATGGTTCATGATTTAATTTTGTTTCAGAACATACTTTGTTCATCTCCTCTTACAATTAAGAAAATTATCCGACTCTCTTTAAATTACTTACGATGAAAAGTGTTCTTTTGTAGCATTCAAAATTTTTCAATGTTTTTCCTAACAAATAGTGTGTTTTTTCTGTAGTGTAATTACAATGTGACTTTTCTCATGGGGGTTATCTTTTCAAAATGTTTTCCAAAAAAATCTACCTTATCCTGGCCAATATTCGCAAAGTTTATATTCATTTCGATGCACTGTTCATTCATTTCGCCAACATGTTTTTAAATTCGCTCTCAATAATTGTTTCTTTTTATCTAGAGGGTCATTCACTTTCATCTCGATTCAATCAGTTACACAGGTGGATTCATGCTGCACATGAAATCAATTTAGAATAATCTCTCAGCTGTATCCTGCATGCATTGATACTGGTTGTACAAGGAAGGGAAGATAAAAGAGTGATATCACAAAATTTCAAGCAATTAAACAATATGAAACTACAATAATTGCAGACATTGATGTGATAGGTATTCATTAGTTTAGTTAGTTTTTATTTCAATTTTCACGTTTGATTTCTTTCTTTCTTCTGTTATCTACTTTACAGACAGTCTGTAACACAAATAGGCCTAACTTCTATTTCTTCGTTATTTCAAGTGCGCTGTAGAGGCCTAAAGATTTCCTAAAGAGTTTGCTATCTACATATATACCCATCCTCAATGACACTACGAACATCTAACAAAAGAAACAGTGCACTCACAATGAGCGTCCATTGTTCTTGCACTGTGCTACGTTTGTTTGTATGTACATGTACATGCGATATTTTTAAACCCGCGCTCAGCTGGAAAAGGTATGCGTGTACGAAATTCATGTATAAGTAACGCAATAGCCCGCCTGTTTGTCAGAACGAAATGCAAACGCGACAGAGCTTCTTTAAAATCAGACGAATACGAATGACTGAACTTCGAAAGTTAATTGAACACTTGACCAAGGAAACCTCGCGGTACATTCCTTTGATTATTCAAGATATCTCCTTGGATCACCAGGTGCGTTGGATAAAGGAATCAAACCCAGTCAATCCAGTGCAGGCGTAGCAAACTAGACTGGCGTGACTGGTCGAAGATTCTCAAGTATCACCGTAAAAGGCGAAAAGGTGTGGTAGCTATATATCTGGTAAGCTACCGATAACACAACTCCTATCAGTATGTACTCGATGAGAAACAGCGTTGGAATTGTTAACGTGTCGACCAGAGCCTCGCCGCTGAAGGAGACGTGGATGATAGATAACGCCAGAGCAACACTCTTGTCGGCAGAGCAGAGCCCCATAGCACGGCAGACATGGTGGTCTTGATCTACTAACATCCCAGTGAGGTATGTACCACAAAGAACGATGATAAGGTATAAGAATACGGCAGATATGTCTTTGATTGAGGCATCTACAGAGTTTGGAAGCTTTATACGTACAATAATGATCATGGCAATAACGACCAACAAAGGTAGATAGCTGACGGCCTGTGAATATAGAAAAATACAGAATATATTTCTCCACTTGTACAGGAAAACAGGTGGCTTTCAATCAGAACAACAATCTGTGAAATTATCATAATAGTCCTCTAAAAGTCTAAAAATGTGATGAAAATGAGCCAGATCGGTATTCAAAAAGGCAAGGTCTATCGGGAACCAAGCGCGCGCCAGTCGGCGTATGGCTACGCTGATTGGGCAGACAATCGCTGCTGTTCCGAATGACCTCGGACCCGCTTCACTTTGGGCGTGCGGTGTTGGAAAACCCGACTGGCTCATACGCTTTTTCTTCGGTTTTCATCTCTTTTTTTCTGTTAGAGGTAAGTTTGTGGCATGTAACTGGCATTTACCGATAATCATTGTAGGTGAACTGTTTCCTGACAAATTGCATTACCGTTTGTAATGGCCTTTTTGGAGAAACACCATTGATTCGAACAAGGATTGCCTTCCGCGTTGCAATACTCGACAACAGAGGGCGCAAGATGCTACTTGTTATAGCAAATTTCACTCAGTCATTCTAAAACGTTCTTTTCCATTCTACCCCATGGGTAACTTTATCTAAAAACAGTCACGATCCAAAGAAACAAGCACAGACAATAGGGGAGATCTATAGTTACTTCTGGAAAGTGGTTTTTTACTACGACTATGGAGACAAACCTTGACAAATCTGTCGGCCCATTTCTCCTTGTATCTCCTGAAAGCCATTCCCAAAGCGATGCCACCTATGTTGACGCACAGGTTGACAACTATCAAAGTATTCGGGATGACAGTCAGGTCTAGTTCCGTGTAAGCGTTGGAACATATGTACACGCCCAGTGGAATCATTCCCACAGACATGAGTGTGGACAACACGATCACAGAAAGACTGCATACCACACAGGGAAGGGAAACAGTTTAGATACTGACTGGGCAACAGTTATTATGTAACGTAGACAACAGTTATAGAGGGTTTGCATGGCCGCCATCTTGTAGGCCAGAGATTTGTTTCTGTGTATGCACAAAAGAGGTTTCCCTGTGGAACAAAAGAACTGCCCTGCAAGATGGCTCCCATGCAAAGCCTCTATACGTGGACCGAGCAACAGCTACTATACATTAACTAGACAGTAGTTTGACAAGATGTAATACATAATTAGTAAATATTGCCATGCATGAACATTTTGCATTGTCATGTATGCCTGTGTTTATTAAATGCAGGCCTGTGTTTCCCATTCTGCCACGTTATGTATTTATTCACAAAACAAGGCTTTGGTAACACTAGATGATACCATAACAATGATACGAGTGAGAAGTTATCATATACCTTTATCATTTGCCATAATTATGTTTCATAGGGTTGACACGCAGTTAGACAGTAAACTGTATCTTTTCGCGGTATATGGTGATGTGGATGTTTTTCTTTTTAATGCATGGACTCGCATCTAACAGAATTTTTTTCTATTTTGTTGGTGGGTGGGAGATAGAACAAAACAAGCTGAAAATCTAAGCAAAAAATGGGAAAGGACCAAATCCATTCCTATCAAAACTCTATTACATCCCTAAAGGAGGGAATCATCTCGCTTTCAATTATTTTAGAAATCAAGAAAATGGAGGAAATGGAGAATTAAATATGGATGCTTTAAGTTATTTAGTCTTCCCAAATCGTTTTTCGCAGAACCTCGGATAGACTCTCCGAAGTGGGAGGCTCTGTATACGGCTTTCGAAGAATTACTCCTCAGCCCAAATAAACAATAAACACCCCCCCCCCAAAAAAAAACAAGATATGTTGGCCGGTGTTGGTCGATGATATTTTACTTTTGTCAACTGGTATAAAAGCTAAGTTTTAGATAAATCTGGGCAAGGTTTGGGTGAAGGTATTTGTCAGTAAGCGTAGGCAGTGGTTTTGTTGTTTTTTTGTTTTTTTGTTTTTGTTTTTTAGTAAGAGGTTGAGCAACCCTCGTCCATTTTGGGAGCCTGGTAAAGGTTCCTGACTGGAGACGATCAGAACTTAAAGCTCGAAACATTGAACTACAAGCAAACTAACGACAAGTATCTAGACACAGACCTGCTTTCAATTACAAAAGAAATCTCTCTTGTTTACATCTATGCCAGTGGCGCACCATTTGTTGCTGGGGAGGGCACAGACAAAAGGGTACCCCCCAAAATAGCTCAGGATACTCAAGCCCTTCCCCTCCACCTACCGTTGTGACAAAGGAACTGTGAGATGAACGGCTACATCACGGTATAGCGTAACATGTTTGAGATGTATTGTATCTAAGTTCTGTCAGACAAAAAGACCGTGGAAGGCTGAAGTCCCCGAGGCCACCCTTGGGTGCTCCCTCTGCCCGCTTCAAAGTTTAAATCTTCCTAAAGTAGGTCCATACTGCACTGAAATAATTTCCGTATCCGTGGTGCACAATTTTTCTCTGAATTTGAGCACTTTTTGTTTTTGAAATACAAACTAAAATGCGTACTTTGATTGTTTGTTTGATTTGACTTTGAAGTTTACTTCGGGAATCTTGCCGGTAATTCTTTCTCTGAAGAATCAGCTATGATTGGCAACTTGTGTCTGTTTTCACTCGGTTCAATACTGCTTACCTCAAGCAAATATCTGCTTCCGTGTAATAAGTGAATATCGGAGACAGGTTGCCCGCTGGACAACAGGATGTGACCAAGAGTGCGATGCCCTCCCGAACTTCCAGCCTGAGCGCTAGAATAAGGACGTAAGCTAGTACAGGAGACAGCAAGACAGAGACGAACATGGACATCCACATTGCTTTGGGTTTCTTCACGCCTCTGGTGAAGTCCAACGGATCGACTTTACTGCCGTAGATGAGCGAGCTTAAGCCCAAAGTAACCAAAAGAAAAGTCCGCTGCAACTTGATCACCGCGTCCTCCTCTGGTGAGGCTTCTACCTGAAGGCTTGCCATTTTTGCTTTAATTACAAGTAAAATATTTCGAGAAGGTCTGAATTGGTCTCTCTTGCGAAACCTTAGGTCGTTCCGTTGGGACAGTTCTCCATCACTAACTGATCTACCAGTACATTTTTCCAAGGGAAAACATAGTCTGACTGGCGGCGCAAACGAATTCCTGTTGACAAAAAAGCGTTTTACAGTTTGATTTATTCATGTCGGTCTAGAATATGTAGATTTTGATGTAGGCCTACTATTTTTGGCCATGCTTGGATGCAATGTCATACTGCTGACCTAAGCTGACATTACGTGTCGACACACGAGTAGGTCCTACCACTTAGCAGGGACGACAGGTAAGAACCATTCCTCACAGGAGTTATAACAACAAGCACAAAGTCGGCAGTTCTTTGCATTGTATAGAGTCGTGACAATTGCCACGTCTGCAGGGCCAGCTGGATTTGAATTCAAGTCTATCGGGTTCTGCTCGTAATGATCTGGGCCGATGTCGATGTGCTGTACCGCCTGCAGCACCGCCTGCAGCGCCGTGCAACATGTCACAGTCGCGCTGTATAAAAGGGTGGTTTTTATTAACTCGTTACGTGGCTTGATAAAAGACACCAGACTACGTTGATGGACTGAACAATAACCGTGTATAACTTGATATCAAGTCTAGGTACAAGGTGAGCTCTATTTATATTTCAGGGCACCGTCAACCGTGACTAATAATAATAATACATTGCTGCTAAGTAAGTAACATCCATTGTACATGTGTTAGGTTTGTGAACCAGCAAGAAAAATTCTCCTGCATAACCGTACCCCTTTCAAGTATGTGGCTTGTCATTGCGGTATGGAATGTACGTGGAAACGCACTGACGATCCCTATTATAATTTCGGAATGAAAGTCATGCTGGTAGGATTTTACCAATAGATGAAAGGTTGGCGCCTCTTTTCAACTCTATAGGATGGATCGTATTTGTGCAGGTATCAAAGACCAGGTTGGTTTATGGAACCGCATGTAAGGCTCCTAAAATGCTCTAAATAAACCAGGACTTCTCAGTCAAAAATGAAAGCGTGATCCCGGGGGCTATACGCACAAACATGGAGGTTGGTTATTGTGTTCCCTCCTACACAAGCTTAGGTACCATGCAAAAATAGTGAGTAGGTCAATCCACTGCTGGAAAGTGGAAAAGGAGTTTTTCAGTCTTTAAGAAATTGGTTTACACATACATTAAACTGCTTGAATATCTCAAGTAGATATCTCAGATCAAGTAGTGCTTGTATTATAGGCCTACACATAGAAAGTTCAATATACACTGTAAAAAGCAATACGTAAAAAAAATATGAATATATATGATCTTTCCAAACGTTTTTCATAAAAAGCAGGAGGTATTTTTTCGTGCGCGTGGTAAGGAAAAGGGTTTAATTTCTCAAAAAAGTTTTCCCAAAAATTAAAATAACACCATTGTCTTCAAATAAACATTTTCAAGTCGTAGTTCTTTCGGCCGCTTATTGAAATGACTGCCTCGGTATTGTTTGAATCTGTTGTTCAAAGCGCCCTCTGTTGATTATGATTTGATGCATGATTTGATGCATGAAATTATAAAATGAAATATGCTGAACAGCTCAACCCCATTCATGAAAATAAAATATCGGAATAATTCACAGAATGCACCTGGTGAACTTGGCAGGAGACCCAGTGGTCACGGGTGAAAATTCTATCCCTATCAAATTTTCCAATGTAGTATGGACTAGGGATAGAATTGTCTATCCCTAGCAAACTTTATAGTTCATACTGCCTTAAAGTAAAGAGTTTGCCAGGGATAAACAACAATCTCCAGCTCGTACTGCATTGAAGAAATACTGGGAATTGACAAATCTGTCCTTTTGGGGAATCTTCATGTGGAGCATTTGGTTGGCCTACAGGAATATCTCAATGATTGAGCAATATGCAAGGGCTATTTCAAAATGTTATCAAAATGTTTGTGATATAAGTGTTTTATGCATCTTATTTGCATTTTGCTTTGGTAGGAAACTTTTACCAAAAATTAATGGTTTACTTTTGAACAAATTATAAACTTTTAGAATTATTTGGGAAATTATGCATGAAAAATGATAAATTTCATTGGAGAAGTTGACAAGAGAGAGAAATGTAATTTCAATTAAATAAAAATGTGATATGTAAAAGAAATTGTTTGTTTGCGTGATGTTGTTTTGTTTTCGGGCTTCAATTCAGAAAAAAATCAGGTTACTGTGGACGGATTAAAAACAAAATTTAGCAGCACCTGACATGAATAATACACTGGCTTAGAGACGATCGGTGTGCAAAGTTTATGTTGTTCTCAATTCAAATCTGTGAAGTGTTGCTATAAATTCATAACTTTTTTCATGTTCTAGAGGAAGTTGAGAATAGGATGCTTTGATTTCTCATTTTCGCCAATTATTTCACTAAAAATCTTTTTTTTTTTTTGATGCTCCAATTCTTTAAAACTCGAATTGTGAAAATTTGCAGTTAATTGTGAAGGTGTTATAAGAAGTTGGACCCAGAACCGGGCGAAGGCAAATTGGACACTCGGCCTAGTCTGCCCCTGGATCCGCCAGTGCCTAGATTAAAACAATTAGGACAAAGTGACAGAAAGGTTGACAGGATTTAAAACAGAACTCTGCATTGACGTTTTTAGAAATGAATAGAGTTGTGATTGTAACTGAAAACTGATGTTTATACATTTCCGTTGGTGATATTATTCTGTTATTATTTTTACATGATTTTTCATTGTCCTGAACTGCATGGCATACAAACATTAATAAACATAAGCAGTGGGTACGTAATGTCTGTAAATCCAGAAGGCCGCGGAAAAAATCAGACCGATAACGATATACTCGATTAGAAACAGGTTGGGTAAAGGCAATGCAGACAACAACACTTCCCCCGTGAAGGAAGAGTGGACCACGGTCAGTGAGAGCAACACGCTCTTACTGGCCGCAGAAAACGCCATAGCTCGGCATGTCTCGTGCGTCTGCCCGGCCAGATGCCCCAGCAGGTAGGTTCCCGACAGTAACACAAGGAGATAGACTAGAACAGGGAAGATCTCGCTGGGAGTAAAGTGCACGGAATGTTGAATTGTGATGCCAACCAGAAAAATCATTATGATGGGGATGAGTACCGGCAAGTAACTCAGTGCCTGAAGATAAATGGAGAGAATTTGTAAGGTCAGACTATGCAAGGAAACATAAATAAGAAAAAATTAAAAACAGCACAGTTAAAAAACTTACGGCTTTCCAAAGGCGCGTAACTGGGATTTGTTTGCCCCATTGCGAAAATGGGGTTTCGGCCGGTTTGGATTCAAAGTTAGGTTTGAAAAATTGCAACACGTTACTCAGTGCTTTTATCAACCGTTTTCTCCACCCTCGAATCTATTGTAACAGTTTTGATTTAATCCATTTCGCTGTCCCGAGCAGCTTTTGTGTCTCTGACTCGCCAAATCTTCATCCCGTAGAAATCGGCCACAGCCGCTCTGTAGCCCGTTGGATATAAGCCTACGTCACTTTTCATTTGACCAACCCTGGGAAGAGGGAGCGGCCTCTTTTGGCGAGTCCATTGGAGCTAATTAACGTTTTTTTTTCGTCCAAATGCAACGACTACTTATCATATCCTACCTCTGTATGCTGAAAAACCTGGTTTAGTCACTTTACAGCCCCCAGCCAGAAAAAATGAAAAAAATCCAGCCAGCCTTGAGCCAGCCTCCAGCCAATTCCCATAGGATTGTGTGCTAAGTGGTCCTTTGTGTACAATCTAATGGGTTGTTTACAAAACGGTGCCTGGGGCAGGCAGTGGAATGTTCTTTGTCAGTGACAGCTGTCTGGAACTTGTCAGAGGCCTCATTCGGCAGCCTTTGAAGTGTTATTTTTGTTGGGGGGGTGTTGTGGTGGTGGTATGGCTTGGCTGGCGCGTGGCGAGGCCCCCCCCCTCAAATCGGGATAGCCTGGGAAAACGGCGCCCCCACGGTACTGTGATGTACTTTTGGTGGTTTGTAAGAGCTGTAGAAGCTAGGGGACAACCACTGAAGCATTAATATATATGCCCAGCAAAAATGAGACCAAGGGGTACCCCCCCAACATGTCTAATCCCTATACACATTCCAGACTACTGTTACTTAACACATCCCCCCCAAGATGTCTGAAAGGAATTCCCCAGATTCCTGCGAGACAATGACCAACACAAAGGGGGGGGGTTCTCTCCGTCTCATACCTTGCTGCATATGCTAATATACCTTCAGGACGGACTTGGGGCTCCGCAACCCTGAAAATGAAACGGACTCAACGGAATAGTCCGCTCCAGCCACCGTGTGAGTAAAAATTCATAGTGCCTCGCAGGGTTTTAAAACACATTCAGAGGCGTGTAGCTGGTGCCTTTATCACCCCCCAAAAATTATTTTGAACTGTGCATTTTGCGGAGTAAGGATCTTTGATTTTTTATATTATTTGGCTCCTAATTCGTTCTGTCCTGGGAAGAATTCCCGGGATAAAGTTTACGTCAAGTTTGTCACGAGAATCTTATAAGCATGGCCAAAGCCTTCTTTTGTTTAACACAATGTGCGCAAGTGACTGAGCTGTGATACCCACCAAAACGAGCCTGTCCGCCACTTTTTCCTTCCAATTTCTGAGTGCCATCCCCAGACTGATGAAGCCTATTGACGTACTCAACGTGATCACGATAATGTTGTTAGGAATGACTGCAAGGTCCAGCTCCGTGTAAGCGTTGGAGCACAGATAGACACCCAGCGGAATCATACCCACAGACATGAGAGTAGACAACACGATCACAGATAGGCTGGACAGAGAGGGGTCGATATCAATCAAAGGTTAATAGTTGTCATATTGACCTGAAGAACGGGATTATTAACGCAGTGGTCGTATATTGACATAAGACAGGTGATTTAATAACACAATTATTGAAAATCCTCATTAAAAGAGAAATAGATTTTTCCACTGTGGGTGTAACAGTAATTGTACTGAGCACCGTTGATTGCATTAACTAAATCACTGTTTAGCCATTACCCAATTTTATAGCTTCTATAAAGTTCTCTCTAAAGCTTTTCTCCTAACGGAAATAAGCCCTTCTTTGTTTCAAGTTTCTATTTTTCTTTCACTAAAATGCACTTTCTATTCTGGGTTAATGTTTTGACTCATATTTGTGTATATGAGGATGTACAAAAATTGAATATTAAAAACATTTAATGTAAATCAAGCATTTTTAACATTGTTGTCGACATCTTGTCACTCCGACCAGATGTCTTTGTATACAGACGACTGCAGAATTTAAGGATGGCTTAGTTCTTCATTCCCACCTGGGCTCATTTCCCACGGAAATTACGCTGAATCAACCCAAACATTCAGGAGAATACTGTGCCACCTTCGGAAATCTTCTTCCTAAAACTGCGACCCGTGCTCAAACAACGGCCAGTTCAACTTGAAACTTGTTGATGTTCCAAATTGATGTTAGCTGATTCTCACACCTATCCGTACACTTTGAAACAAAAAATGGAGTTACTTTAATTTTTGAATGTCGGTTCAAAATTGGGAGTGCTAGATCTTACCACAGGCAGACGTCGGCTTGAGTGTAAAATGCGAAGATTGGTGATAACGCACCGGCTGGACAGATAGATGTTATAAGAAGAGTTAGGCCGTCGGAGTAGTGAAGACTGAAGATAAGTGATATGACAAAGGCCGTCAAAGGAGCCAGCAGTGCTGATACCATCATGGCTAACCAAAGTCCTAACGGTTTTTTAACGCACTTGGTGAAGTCGTCGGGAGTCATTTTGCTACCGTAAAGCAGAGAGCTCAACGCCAGCGCCGCTAGAAGTAGATATCGTTGTAGTGTGGTAACAGCGAGGATTGTAGACTCACCGATGCCTTCCTTACTTTCAGCAGCATCCATCTTTACAAAGTTAACGCCGTTCAACTTTATACGACAAGTTATGAAACAGTCTCACAGGAAAAGTAGCTTTTATCAGTTTGTGGTCGTTCTCGTGCCTGAGCCTGTTTCGCTTTTTCCCATGCACAACGAGACCTTTTTCGATGCCAAACATCGAAATGGTTTTATAGTCAATCCAGTCTCTTTTCACGGTGCACCAGGAACAGAAAACCGACTTTCCAGTCCGCCGACCTTTTTAAAAGAGCCACACAAACTTCTAACAAAAGTTTTCTGGGTGGCTTAAGCCCGTAGGTACGTATGGAAATAAAGTCTTAGTTCCTCATTCAGGCATATGGATAAAGGAAAAACCCCTCAATTGTCAGTAAATCGGGTAACCAAAGCTGTTTTTCAAGCCCTTCAAATGAAAAACCATCACTGTCCAAAAGATAGCCTTGGGATGGAACCATCAATGGTGCTGACTGGTTGGTATACATCCCTGTCTGCCTTTTAAGCATAACTGAAAAAGCACAGTTTCCCTGTGAATGTTTTGTTGGATGTTGTGTGTTTTAGAAAATAGACCTACACTCTTAGTTGTTCCGGTCCGGGCAAATCCATACGGTAATTGTTTGTGAAGCGATCAAGCCCATACCAAAACGGTGATAACAGAATGAATTTAATGTGACGGGATAGCAGTTCCAGGGGCGTAGCCACGGGGGGCCTGGGGACACATGCCCGTCTGGTGCCCCCCCCCACACAAAACCACACCACTGAAAGCTGGTGCCCCCATAAGATGCTGGTGCCCCCCCCCACACACACACAAAACCACACCACTGAAAGCTGGTGCCCCCATAAGATGCTGGTGCCCCCCCACACACACACAAAACCACACCACTGAAAGCTGGTGCCCCCATAAGATGCTGGTGCCCCCCATACACAAAACCACACCACTGGAAGCTGGTGCCCCCATGGGATGCTGGTGCCTCCTTGTACCCCCCACCAGTAAAATTCTAGCTACGCCTCTAAGCAGTTTTCATCCAAGTAACGTGGCTGTCTTATGTATTGTAACTGTTCACTGCTTCCTGCCGGTGGCGAGTAATCAGAGTGTATTTTGCAGCGGGTACTTGGGGGCCTTTTGCTGGAGAGGAGTACGCAAAGGGTTCGGTAACTGTTAAAACACTCACCAAGGCTAAACTATCACCAGATATTTTCCTTCTCTAATTTCTAAGTGGAGGCACAAGGGGGTGGCCTTGGTTGAGGGAAGTCCATGCCCCATTCATTTAGCCACGTCTTCCTCTGTATGTGACCCAAACACATCTTTACAGGGCCCCAACTCTGAAGAGAGTCGACTTCAATGTTTTATTAGCTAGACAGAGACTTTCCGGGCCGCGTTTGTGTTCTTGCACGGGGTCGTAGTTGCATGAGGAAACGATGCCTGCTAGAGCTCAATGTACAAATCAAGCAGGAGCTAATGGCATATTTTGCTTTTTCTCTTTCGTTATCGCAAACAGCTTCACCATAAATTGTTTATTTGTCTTAAATTTAACACCATAACCACTAATTTGAAATAAATTACCGTAAAATGATTTATCGATGATAATCATTCCAAAATAAATTACCACACTGTGATCAAGAGGCTTAGGAAGGATAGGCCCTTGTGTTTGATTCGCCCTTGCACTGAGTGGGAGGGAGTTTAGCGTAGCGGTTCTGTCCCGCTTTGCACCAAAGAGGCCCGGGTTCGAGTACCGGCTTGGCCCAGGCTGTAAGTGCATTTGGTTTCCAGTCATACTCG